TTCCCTTGTGAAAAGGAGCAGCAATAATAACCAACAAGTTGAACGTTAGCATATTTGCAACCTAACTGTCAAATCAAAATGTGTGAATTACAGTGCTGCTTTCTCCATTGATGTTCGAAATTTAACATATGCCGGTTTACACAGTGCTTGGAGATGGAGTGTGTCTTTAAAGACATGGAAAACATACATCCCCTTCTCCCTACGGAACAAAAGAAGAAAATTATGTTTGGTTGTAATGCAACAAAAAAAAAAAATCAATCACAGCTCTTTGATGATAGGTTTGTCTGAGCTCCCCTGGAAAATAGGACACTTGAGAATACTTAACTACAGTTGATACAAATCCAAAATAGCCTTTGCAGTTCAGCAAATTAGTAGCTAGGAAGGCTGAATTATTTCCATGCAAACCTCAGAACAGTTTGGTTCCACAGAAATAGTGAAAGATCTGGCAGAAGCCAAAAAAGACATCAGATGATCATCTGAACCAAAAGACACCACCTTTATCTACAGATGTGTATGGCAAGAAGGCTGCATGGGGCAAATATTCTTCCCTATTTCAGTAAAGGACATTTCTAAGAGAATCTAGATAAAGGACTGAATGAGTATATGTTATTGGGATCTTACACTTGATTTCAATAGCTCTAGATAAAAAGGGGAGCATGAGCAGCAGAGCTGTATTCTCTGCTACACACCCAAAACCAAGGCATTGAAAAGTATACAGTCTTTAAGCTGTGAAAATGCCAGCTGGAGTTTCTGCTCTTGTTCAGCTCTCCTTCACAGGCTCCTGCAGAACCTTTATTTTTTAATTACAGAATCTCTAGATAATTCTCAAATTATTACCATTCAATGTTACTAACGAGGCTCTGAACAGCAGGAGTCTCTTCAGAAATGTGGAGGAGCCCCATTTGTTTTTTTCTTTAGTTTGCGTAAATGTTGAAGAATACATTATATCTCTCAATATGATTGATTCAAGAAGAGTAAAGTTAACTCTTAAAGAGAAACTAGTATCACAGCAGCTAATGATTGCCTTGCTCAACTGGGAACACCCTAAGTGTCTTTATCATATTTTCTACACACCTAATTCCAATCCCGACATTGGGCAAGTTCAAGTTCATTAGCAGCTCAACACCAAATCCTACATGAGGCTGCCAAGTCTCTTTCCTGAGATCTAAATGACATCTAGAGCATTCTAGGGAATAAAGTAGTTGACATTATCAAAACTGATCATCTAATTGCTCTTCTACACTTTTTTATGCAAATTCCATCTTTCTTATCTTTAATGAAATTAAAGACTGGTAAATCTATCAAGGTGCCTTCACTGTTCCTATCAGCTATGTAAGTATATTACTCCTTTTAGTTTCTTAATTCCTGGCTGCTATGTCATGAACACTGTCACAAACACAGAGCTTGCAGACCTCTCAGAAGAACTACTATGTTTCCTTTTACTCACACTACTTTGGGATGTTGAAGAACAAAATAATACTAATGTTTTCTTTTCAAGAAAAGAACCTAATTCAAGACTGCAATAACTAGAACTCCTTCAAGGCTTTTCCTTAATTTATATTGGCATGATTTGAAATTAGAGAATTTTCTCCATTTGCCTGCAGAGCCTCAACTAATATACTTGCCTATGGCTAATATTAGCAATGGCACCAAGTAGCTACAGCAGTTGACTCAGACACACGATTACTACCAATGCCCAGCAGCTCTGGCCAGACCTGCCTGACTGAAGTATTCCAGGCTCAACAAAACAAAATTCCAACTAAAAAATCTGAACTTTCCAGAAAACTTGGGTTTGCTTGTAAGATGAAGAGATATATCACCAACAGCAAAGCAGCAGAGGTGTCCCAGACCTGAGAGACCTGGAGAATGCAGAGGTAACTGGAGGGCCTACACTGCACTGCAGAAACTTTTATTACACAAGACAAAAGTGAGATTCACTACAAAACATAACTTCACGTTGAGGGAGATGGTGGGACTGAGGGATGAGCTGCTTACTGAAAGAAATCAAGATCACCAACACACAACTAATTGTCATATTTAGTTAGTCTGCATCAGAAAACTTAAGAGGATGTATTCTTTTCTATTCAAGGTTTCTAACCTGAGTTTTTTGGAATTGCCTTTTTTTTTTTTTTACATCTACATATTAATTTTAGAGGTTTTATTGTTTACAAATCAGAAGTCATACATCAAAGCAGAAACTACACAGTTTAAGCACCCCTGTGGCTGAACAATTCAGCAATGACTAGATGCATGAATTCAAGGGCTTTTTAAAGTGACAGGAATCTTATCAGAAAAAGTCTACATTCAGAAGCCCTTTGCTTGTTAGGTACTGGTGATACACTAACTTCATCAACTTTCATCAAAACTCAGTGTGTATTTATGTCTCTGCTGCTTCTTCCACCCTGAACAGAACTTAATCAAAGTCTCTGACCATGTCAACTGCAATTATCCAGGCTGTTATATGCTCTAACTAGGCAACAGCAATCTAAAAAAAAGAAAACACTTTAAACACTGCAGGATTTGGGGTTTTTTCTGGTTTGTGTTTTGTTTTGGGGTTTCTGTTTGTTTGTTTGAGTTTGGTTTGGTTTTGGTGTGTGTTTTTTCTTGTTGTTGCTTTTTTGTTTGTTTGCTGTTGTTGTTGTAGAAATTTAGGGTAGTTATCTATCTTGGAGTGTTCCTGGTAAAAAACATTTTATCTCCAGTGGTATATCAGATTTTACTTCTGGTTTTTTTATTTATCTTTCTCAAAATATTTTATCTAAAATTGCTACAAAATTATTTATACAAACTATAGGCTAAGGAGAAAGCAGAATGGACCTTTCTTTTTCCCCACAAAGCAGTATTTCAATTCACAATCCTCCTTAGGATTTTCTACCTAAACCTTAGAAATGGGTGTATTTCATGAAAGCAGGAGTAAGGGAGGGGAAAACGAAACAAGAGCTACAATTGCATAGTCTGTCTTCAAACTTCCCTTACACAAACCTTATCCCTTCAATCATTCTTCCAGACTCCTGCATTTCAGAGTACAAACAATTAATGGTATACTGTTTCTCCTGTGTCCCTCTCCCCAGTCTCTTTCTTCACCCAAACACATATTCACATGCCTTCACCCCCATGTTGCAATTGTCACATACAATTTCTGGAATATTTCTCTATTGCTAAGTGTCCTCTGTATAAAACCAATGAGAAAAACTGGAGAGTGAGTAGCTTAGTAGTACACAGAACAAACAGGATATCCAACATGAGGTTCAGAAATCACTTCCAGACTATGACCAGCCACTAGCTGAAAGATAAGGCCTCTTAGAATACATGTGGTTTTTGGAACTCAACTATTTAACCTCCTCTTACAAACACTAGGGAAATGGTGATAATTTTAAGTACAGAAGTAGGAGAGAAAGGATCGAAGCAGACAAGTACTGCAGCATTAAGCCAACAGAAAATTCAGCTAAACCTCTCTTCAAATACAGGTAACTTCATTGAATAAAGAAATATTTTCCACCGTATAGCTATGGTTGTGGATACTTAGCACATCCTTATAAGGCATTCAAAATAACAGGAAGTATTGGGAGACCTTTCTGAAACTGCTCCAGAACTGACTTTATCAGGAGCACTCTGTGCCTAGGAACAGCTAAATGCCCAAAGGACCTTAGAGGAGATTACCTGTCCCATTTCAACCCTATTCCACCTTCTCCATCTCACTGAGGGCAAGCAGGGTGCTATAGAATTTCACAAGTGATGCCATTACCCAGTGGAGTTGGAAAAACTATCAGTTTAAAAGCCTAGTTTTGGCAGGGTAAGGCACAACTTTGATTCAATAGTAATCAAAAGCAGTTCGTCTAGGAAAAAAACCCAACGAATCAAACCCTGACTTCAGTAACTGCATACCAGTTTATTAAAGCTGTTAATTAACCAAAGCTCAGTAATGTCCTATGGGATTAGAATGCTCTGTGTTCCACTTGCTTGGGTGCCAAGTCTTACAGTAAAATAAGACATTTAACATAAGCTGTGCTATAATAGCTCAATCAAAATTTGCAGAATAAATTAACAGCAGGTCCCCAACAGAAAGGCATTTACCTCTGAAGATGCCGAGTTGATAGAGGCTTTGCCAGCCTATATGATTTTCCCACTGATAAACAGTTACCACTGCTTAATCAAGAACAATAAGGACAAATCGAAGTGAAAAGTAGTGATCAACTCACACACATCAAGTTATTGCTTCTGAAGTGGGCTGTATTAGAAAACTACAGCTGAAAATAATTTAAATACAGATTCAATTATCCTTTCTCTTTATCCAGGAAAAAAATAATTTATTTTGCACTGTAAGTTCTCTAAACATGACTCCTAGTGATCCCATGGTCCACTGAATTGCCTGAATTCACCTGAATTGCCACTCACTCCTTTACCGCACTACAATCTTGTCACCTCCACATAGGTGGGATTTTTGGTTACAGGAGAAGCCACTTTTAAAAAGCTCTGCTTGAGCTTCTTCCTTCTTAGAGCCACTACAAGTTAAAAGGAATATTAAACAACAACAAAGATGTTTGGTTTTTTTGGTAGAGAGCCACAGGCTTTCAAACTAATCCTCATGCTCAAAATTACAAGGCTACACATTATTCCAGCAGTCACTTGGAAAGGCTTTTCAGCTTGTTCAGGGGGAAAAAAAAAAGCAACCCACAAAACCAAAATCCCAAATCTTCAAAATGTTAAGCAACTTACTCAGAAAGGCTCTTTCCAGCAAAAGCAGTAAGACTCAGGATTTCTAAGCCTAACTGTAGCACCCTGGTTGCCAAACAACTGTCTCCACCTTTCCCTTCCCAGTAAGATTGCTGTCAAGCTTTAATAATAGCATGAAGCAAAGAAATATTGGCCAGAATCCTAAGCAGAACAAAGAAAATTTATCTCAAGATAAAAAAAATAAAATTTTAAAAAAATAAAATCAAAGTTTTTATACTTAGGGGATAGTCTAAGATTAACACTACATAACATTTTCACTAACACAGTTTCACTTTTCAAAATGGAAGTCAGATTTATTCAACATTAAGTGTAACAACACATCAGAAATCAATAAAATCAATTTCCACTTATAAAATAAAGCAAAGTAACATGAATAAACACAGGAAAATACTGTCTGAGACTCTCCAAGCAGGACATTTCTCATAAGACTCACAGAAAAGAAAAAAAAATATTTTTATATGCAAACAGACTCAATTCCCAAAAACTCAGTTTTTTCCAGTTGTAAAGCAATATATAGCTAATGGGAGGTAAACTAGAAAAAGGAATGAAATGCATCATGCTGTACAACACCAAAGAAATACTCCAAATGCATTTGTGTACAGCATTAACAACATGCAGTAAATGAGGTTAAAAGCAAGTACAGTGTATATATTAGAGACAGAAACTAGTCAGTCTGAGGGTTTTGTTTCTTATTTTAGTTCAACTAATGAAAACAAACAGAAGCCAAGAGCAAGCAGAGGAAGAGCAGAACCTGCATGGAGAACAACATCTCTTCCCCGAACAGTAAAGCATCTTAAGATTCAAATTGTGCATATATTTACTGGTCTTGGTCCTCTTCTTGCTATGTCATTGAAACATACCCAGCTCCAATGATGGGCTTTATGCAAGTATCTACATTTTTATAAAGCAGTAATTAAACAAAACAATGCAAGTCATTCAAATTCTGTTAATCTTTTAAGTCAGGCATTAATATGCTGAACACTCACTACAACTCAGTGTTATTTAAATTAAAAATAAAAACAGGGCAAGACATTTCCCAAATAGCCTTGCTGAAGTCTAGGGTATATTAATTACATTTGTTGCTTGGAGAAGAGCAATGTGAAAATACACGTGCTACCCAATTCATTTCATTAAGAATTACTTAAATAGTACTTTTTGACAAATAGCTGGGATCTTTGCTGGTTCTGTTCAGTTCACAGCCTGACAGATTTCTCTTGCCAGTCTTTTTTTTTTTTCCCACAGCAATTTTTTAAAACAAACCCCCAAGATCTCCTATAGCTTTTGTCAGCGATTGATAAGCAAGCAAGCATAGCGCACATGCAAGTTATTAGAATTAGAGAGCCAAATATAATTAACTACAAAGTTCCAAGCAGTAAGTACATCTACATTCCCCTGGGGAGACTCCATCTTACTGGGAGATGGATTTGAAAGCTGATAAAGAACACAGGTTACCTGGTTCACTTCAGAAGTTCTCTGCCTTCCACCCAAAGACTTACAGGAATCCATTCTACCACCTAATATGCTAGTACAAATATTCAAGATTGTAATTAATTTCTGTAAGAATGGAGTGATGGCTGACAACTGAAGACTGACTTTTGTAGGGTTGGACATACAGACCTTAATTTTAAATGAATTCAAGTCTGAAAATAATTGTGCAGCATTAACTTTAGACACATATAAACAATCAAAGGATTATTTAAGAAAGATAAATTTACCATTCATTCACAAATTGCACCAGTCAATGCTCTACCTAGTTCAACTAAAGTACAGCAGTGTTTTTATAATATCCAACCATGATCTAGTCTTTAAAAGGTAACTATTTACCATTTATCTATTAGTAATTCCCAACTGAAAAAAATTATAGTACTCTAAACTATAAACAACTATCAGTACCTGTTTATTTTTTTAACAGTAGAGAGATCACAAAGAACTGAGTTGAATTAAAGTAAAAGGAATGTGAAGGGAAAAGTTCTAATTTAGATGTCTTTAGCACATATTAAAACAAAATTAAGACACGCTACAGAAATTTATCTGAAACTGCTCTGAGGTCTGGCAATCACCTAAGTTAGTGCTGTGACTACCAAACTTAATGCTAGGTCAAAAACAGAATAGAAATTAGAAATACAAAGGTAATGCCCTGAAGAATACACCTAAAGAAGAAAGTGGGGTTTTTTTCTTGGATAAAGAGTTACTGATCGGAAAGGTTGAGATTGAGTATACCTTTTACCTCCAGCAATCTAAGTTGTGAGTGTTCCCTAGTCTTCTGACTTAGGAGCAGATGAAATACCTCTGAACTCTTTTTCATCCTCTGCAATGAGCAAGAGGAATTTCTTTTTACCTTGTTCAAATGTGCTTTCCCTAACAGCTAAATTGAGAACAACCTTCCCACTTTCATTTCAGTGGAACATTAAATACACAGAACACACACACACAATTTGGTAAATTTGAGATTCAAAACTGCAGAGAAAATCAAAAGGTAACAGAAATCTGCTGTGTTTCTGAAGGCCTGAAGTGGACTTGTGAGTACTGCCATCTTGCTTAAGCAATGTCAGATGCAAGAGCACTCAGGAATAACAATTTAAAGGTTAATATTGTTACCATTGTTATCATTAGTGCCTTCTGTTTATGCAACAGAGAACTAAGTGGAGTGTCAGATAAACACCAACTTTACTGGTCTGGAAATGAAACATATGTATGACACCTTTGAACAGCTACTGAAGCCTTAAAGAATGGTTACCCAAACATTTACACTGTCAGGCAGTCCAACTCTACAGGCAAAAGCCTTTTTTGGTTACTAGTTATCCCAACATCTTTGCCACTGGTAGAAAATTTTAGCAGCAGTTAGAATGAAACAGCCATGGTGGGTTTAACTATTAATCAATGAAGATGCAACATCCAGGATCAAAATGCCTACAAGCATTTCAGAGCAGTGTTTCAAACATGATAGTAAGGCACCCACACACCCCTTAAGTGAGAGCAACTGGAACAGATTAGAAAGATTGTTCACCCTACTTAACATATTGTACAAGGAGATAAGCAAATAGACAAGAGGTCCAAGAACTAGTAATTCCTCTATTTGATTTTTAAAAAAATGTATTTTATTACATTCTCCACTGCTTGTAAATATACTTTTAAGTAAATGAAAAACAAATATTTCTTTGTATACATTATGTAAGGTAGTAATCCCTCTCCAACAACGTATCTTGGAAATGGAATGAAATTATCCTGAAGCTCTAAAACTTGGTGGTATGAGAAATGCTAATTAGCTCATTTCCCTCCTGAGCATGCCATCTTCCTATATATTGGGAAGCAAAAGGGCAAAATCTTGAAAGCTTTCTAATTAATTTTATCTTTTTAGACAATCAGTCATAAATTAATGCCTAACTCCAGTTGGCATCTATAAATATCATAACAAAACTGAAGTCACGTATTCTTGGCTTCACCATCCTCAAGGCTTCCAAATGAGGGTAACCTACTACGTAGGTACCAGTGGGGAAAGAAAATTTGACATAGGCCTGGAACTGTCAATGATCTATTTTAAATTCATTCACCAAGCAGTGAAAAAAAAATAAAATTTAAAAAAAAAAATCAACTGCTTTAATCTTTAAGTCCACTGTAAACTGGTCAAAAGTATTTCCCATGGCAAGTAGAAATGCCTTTCCTAAAATTTTTACGCTTTTAGTAAAAAATTGTCATATAGCTTTAGTAAGAACTGTGGAAAGGTTTTTCTTCTTCTTTGTATAGAACTACACACTTGACACTTCTTCATTTTACAGGTAAAAGACTTAAACGATAACCTCTTCAGGGAGAAACCTTTTAGGCAATTTCCACAAAGGGGCTGCTGTCTTGACAAAATACTCTAACAAAATATTGAAGAAAGCAAAGATCCTCACCTTTTGAAATACTGGAGAGTTTAAAATAAAACACAGATTTTAGCTATAAAAGTTAAACAGAACAAAAAAACCCCAAAACAAACAAAAAAAATGTCTAATGACACTAGATGATTGTCTAGGATGACTGATGTGTCTCATGAAATCCCAGTGGTTGGAATGCTGGCTAGACTCACTGACTGCCAGCGAGTTCAAGATACACTGGTAAGCTAATGGAGTCAGAACAGAGGACCTTCGAAGCACATTGTCTCACTTCTGATGTGTTGATCCATGCCAGGTATTTCAACATCAGGATTGGATTTGACGTTTGCCAATGAGGATCTACCTTAGTGTCAGTGCTCTCAACATCCCCTTACTAAAAGGACACTAACTGGTTCAAGACAGGAATTTCTGCATTAGCCGCAGTAGGAGCAATGGAAGCCACTTACATTGCAGACAAATTCAGGCAGCAAGAAATGAAAGCGGTCTATTAAAGTAATTAAAATATAAACCTAACTCAATTAACTTAAAATTAGTTTGTGCTCCAACATACAATACTCACCACTTCTGATTGTATTAATTTAAGCTTTTAGATATCTAATATTTATTAAGAAGCAGCTATAAAGTTAAGAGGACAGCTGGTAATAAACTGAGTGTTGAGAGCAGTCTGTTCTCCAAAGGTTTGCTATTTTGAAGTCAAAATCTATCACTATGATATTCTCATCTGATTTGTTTGTATAACACCTTTTTTTTTTTTTAAGATAGTTAAATTGTTTATTTTAAAAAGATACTTAACACTTAAACTCACAGCCAGTGATGAGTTCAACATGTCCTCCATTTAAGTTTTTAATTATACTTACTACAGAAAACTGAATTTGCCTGTTTTGGCTTCTCAGTATTTGACTTTGCCTGACTTTGATATCAAGATTAAGAGGAGCTGACCTCCCACTCCTTGGTACCAGATTTTTTTTCATGTGTAAATATTTTCTCTCCAGTATCAAAATGCCACTTCATCTTTTTGATAATAGAGACAGAGTTCCTCAAACCTTACACCAAGATCTACTACTCAGTCCCAGATCTTACTTTAAACTCAATTATTGCTATAGACTTCTCAATTGCATCAACACTTTTCTGGTAGTGCCTTCTCCATGCTGTCAGGGAGGCACAATAAGTTCCCTACTTTTATAAAAGTAATTTTTCCCTTTGTAGATGTTCAAGTACTTCATCAGGCTTTTAACTACATCTCTGAAGGCTTAGCATTGAGGTGGTTCTCTAGCACAAGTCTTTTTGCATCGCTTCTTTTTTTTCTCTGCCATGTACAGGGTGTACAATCTTTGTTCAAAGGGACCATTGTTACCTTGTAATGACTTTTTTTTGAAGCTACGGCTGTTCAATCTGATGATTCAGAGAATAATGGAACAATATTATGCTGTCATTATTTTCTATTCCCCCCAATTTTTTCTTCTCCAAACTCTGCCAAACAGTTGATTCCTCCTATGCTTTTCTGTATAGATGGCATACAATCATTCTTTGTTAGACAGTACAATTCTGGGATTCATTGTGTTCTCTTAAGGAATTAATCAATGTATCAGGACTTTTAAGGTACTTGCACATGTAAGGTTTCCATCCCATTTTATAACCATCCTCTTCTAACCATTTCACTAGCCACAGTAAATGCCTTCCGTTAAAATCACCACCACTTCAAGGACAGAACTAACACATTGGTTATGTACAGTGGAACCTAAGTAGAGAATGATAGAAAATACACATATCACTTGATTTCAACTAGCTACAAGTTTTGAAGACTCCGTGCTAGAAAAAATTTAGGCATTCAGTGAATTAGTTCTTTCGTACAGTACATCACATACATATTGGCAAGAAGTGAGGCCCTAATCGCAGGTCCCTGGCAATGGCACCTGCTACTGAGGCAACTATAACACCCCTATGGAAGAGCTGAAACCATTTAGTCATCATTGGGTAAATTGCTTGTGTTTACTAGAGCAGGGAGTATTTCTTTGGAATTTGTCTCAAAAGAAATTCCTGCTCAGTATTAATATTTTCAAACTGAATAAAAGGCACTGTTGCTTAAGCAGTATATTTCTTGTCTCCAACTGTTTAAAAAAAAATAAAAAGATGTTTTTGAACAACTAGCTACTACTACTACCCTAAGAAGGCTTCCTTGTTACCTCGCAGTCATTTCATCTCTCCCTGTAAAAGCTTAACAAAAATTGCTTTTATCTGAAGCATGTCAAGTCTCACCTTTATATCTATCTTTATATCTGAAATTATGAGTTAGTATGACAGTATGCATTATAAAATTATATCATTTACTTCAGACATGTCTGAACAGCTAGATCTTCAAACTATACAAAAATAAAGTGTATGAAATCTTACAAAAGGAGGACATTAAGACAATAATAGCTAATTCAAAAAATATAATAATAACTTATACACAGCAGTAAGCATAAGCAATGTAGCCTACGACAGCTTTCAATTAACAGGAACTCTGAAACATGTCTGAAACAAGCATTAGCTAAAATTGGAACATTCCCAAGCACAATAATGTTTCCAATTTATTATCTTTACCACAGTACAAACTTTCACAACCCAAATGTCCGTTGTCTCTCAGTCTGTAAACAAAAGCTACTATTTCCTCTCCTCACTTAGAGAGTGAATATTTTCAGTCTTCAGTCAAGTTTCACAACCATCACTTGCATAAGGAATCAAGAGCCTTTTCTCTTGATAAATTACTTTTTTTTTTTTTTGTCATACAGCCTGCAGTGAAGTAAAATCACAGTGAAAGTCCTGGGAAAAAAATGATCTTTACAGCAGGACTTGAACCATTCTAATAATAAACGCATCTAACAAAGCTTCCCATAATAAAAGCATGACATTTCCATTTCCAGAAATCAAGTCAATTAGAAATGCTAAATTCTACTTAAAAACCCCAAAAGATCTAAAAGTGAAAAGATTTATCTTCTCAGTCAAATACAAGTCTTTCAGTTTCACTTGCAGAGACTGTTCCAGTCTGTAAAACAGTAGTGCAATTCATTTAGTTCTACTTCTTTTATTTTTGTTAAAGTCCAGTAGACAAATGTCCTAGTTCTATGGAAAGATAGGAAGATGCTCCAGTAAACAAGAAACTTTGGCAAGCCCAGGAAGGCTTACTAGTCCATTAAAGCTTAGGAGTCCAAAGTGGCTTAAAAATGGTTTGTGAATAAACTTTAAAAAAACAACAAATTTAAAAAAAAAAAAAAAACACACTGAAAAAGACAAACTAAAATAAAAAAAGAAATAAATAGGCAGAAATTAATGTAAACTGTCTGAACTTTTTAATGGATTTCTCATTGACAGCTGGCACGACCGTTACAGTCAGTTAAATATAGGTGACCTACCGAGCATTCCACTAAGGCATCCAGTCTGGAATGCTCAAATGGAATTACATTCCTAAAGGTGTAAAAAATAGAGTTCTCATAACATTACTATAGGTTTTCTTCTGCCCATCTCACTTACACTTCTTCTTAAAGAGGTTTTTTATTTTTGATGGCTTTTTATTTTTTTCACCATTTTGGCAGAGGTCCTGTGGGATGCTACTTATCCTGGGGACAGAAGCAGCTTCATGGCTGGGTTTACTATCACTGCCGGTCGAAGAACACGAGGTGTGCCGAGGTTTTGGGACTGGGATCCCAGTTGAAAGCTGGTTCATGCTGCAGGACTTCTCCAGGATTCCATTATAAACTTTGCTTGCAGGACTAAAGATCATGCTCTTAGTTTCTGCCATGCCTACACAGTCAGGAGAGCCCCTAGAAATATCTGCAGTTAAAGAAGAGGAGTCTCCTGTAGATGATTCCTCCAGTGAGAATTCTTCTGGGGATACTTTCTGAGGAGAAATTGTCTGGTACATCTCAAGACTTGCTGGAGGAGACTGCTTCCTTCCAATGGATGAATTTAAGGAGTCACATTCCGAACCGGTTTCCTGTACTTCCCTGAGTCAGAGCAAAGAGAAGAGAAAACATAATGAAACTATTTCCTTCATACAGTTAAAAAGGAAGTTAATTTAGAATCAATAACGTTAAGTCTAAAAGCACCACCCACACTTTTCCTTAGTAGTTAATTAAACAAAAAACATAAAGTTAAACATTAAGTTAAAACTTGCATTACATCATTTTATTATCTAAACTTAAGGTCATTAATCTGTGCAATCTTGCTTTTGTGGGCAGCAACATCTGCCCAGAATCAGTCATTTGTATCTCACTTCAAAGAACAAAACTATCTTTCTGGCACATGAAGTCAGAAAAGTTATGAAATGAAAGGAGGAGATTTAAGCCTATCATATATAAAAAGTTTCTTCAGGACAAGTGTCCCTACCTTTCAACAAGCTCATTTGCTCCTTCCAAAAGGAATTTAACCTTTTCCTATGAGGCCATGTAACAAGAGTAGGTACACGCTCAACATGCTGTAAGAATTGTGTTACCATCCATCTTCTCTTCGCCCAGTAGCTGACATTGCTTTTGATCCTAGTTTCAGATGTAAAAGCCAGTAACATATTGTAATGGAGAATCAGGGTTAGTTCAGTGCACCCTGGATTGTAACATACTTAACTGTATATGACAAGCTAGCTATTTACATACACATACCAGACAAGAACTCTCTGTTCCACGTAGACTATATTAGTTTATATTACCCTATAGATTACTTTAACTTTTGGCTTGGTTTAACCTCTAATTCTAAACTATTAGTCTCAATAATCCTATCAGAGTTCTGAGTGCTGTTTGCTAATCTCCGTACCATTGTTTATCAGCAGAGAAGTAAATGGCTTCCTCCTCCTCTTCAGTTCGATAAAGAGCTGGGCAGCTCGACACAGAAAGGATGTCAGGGTCAGGGGAGTGCAAAGCATGCTGAGACTGCGGGGATGATGGCACAACATTGCGCCTTGATCGACACAAGCTACTGCTTCTTGCCAGTGTGCTGCTGGGAGGTTTCACAATGGACCCTGAGGCAGAGAAAAAGCAAACCATAACCCTCCAAGTTACACTGATGTTAACAATATCTACTCTGAAGCCTAAATAGCAGGTATCTGCTTCAGTGACAGTGATTTTTAAACAACTTTAACATTGTTTGACCGTTCCAGAGCAAGAAACACTGAACACCTCATACATTCTACAGTTAGATGCAGCAGCTAATCAAGATGCAACTGCAGAGATTTTGTGCCAGCCAAATACTACACTAACCACACACCAAAGCTGTGGTTCACTGTGCTCTCTTGAGGAAAAAAAAAAAAAAAAAAGAGAGATTTTATTGAAACTCACAACCCCTTATACACTAAAAATAGCAGGGCTGAAATTAGTATGTTACACAATATCCTGGATTTTACTTGTGTGGTGATTTAGAATTTAAAAGAAATATGCAAAAGTTTTGCAATGTAGGTATGCCTAACCAAACAGCCAACTGAAATACACTGCATTAGTTGAAAAGTAGGTTAGACATGGAAGACCAATTTCATTTATGTAACAGGATAGAAAATATATAATTCAACCTCTTTTTAAGCTCAAGAATTTCCTTTCAGATAACACTTTCTTTTGCCAGGCTAACTATGAATTTCCAGAAACAAAAATATAAGTATGGAGGAAACAGCAACACAAGACTTGACCAGGAAAGTCTCAACAGAAAGTGACAAACTCAAATTTTCCTAATCCAATTCCTCCTTCAAAAGGTTATTAGACAGCAATACTAGTATAGAAATAAAGCTGCAGACCTGTTTTCAGGCTAGCTGTTATGAGTCTCAGGATTTTTCATACCCCTCCTCAAACTGTCCCATAGAATGCATCACTGCTTACGTTAGACACACCAGACCCTTACTGATGTTCAAAATATTTAACAAACACAACACAATAAAAAAATTCAACTATTTCTGTCTAGCCTGACAAAATATATTTTATTTTTCGCAATACCAGTTTAGCATCAGGTAAGTTATAGATTCGCCTCCTAGAATCTCAGAAAAGGTTGTCAGTCCATTTTAGTACAGGAAATCACAACTTTTAGAAAACAGTGAGTAACCGCACCTTTACCAGCACATAAATTCATTTCCACTCCTGAGTAGAAAAGAAAGGTTTATAAGCCCCAACATGAGAGTTGTCATGTATCTCAAACTTTTCATTTTACTTTTGATGAACTCCCTACTGACCCTAAAAGCAGGTGCTGGGAGCTCAGAAATCATCTTGTGTCATTATAACAGTACTCCTAAAAGAGCAAATGTGAACTGAGATAGGAATAAGAATCCCTTTAGTAAATTTGTGCTACATGTCCAGGTAAATCAGATGCCATCCTACTCACTGGTATAAGAAAAAATCCCAAGATTGCACCATCAGTGAATTTCGAGAGAAGTTACAAGTATTTTAATTCCTTGTAGGTGTATATACCCAGGAATATGAAGGGTTCAGCTATGACAATTTAACATATAGAATTTTCTAGTGCAAATGAAAGTCACTAAATCCAGGAACCAGCTGAATCCTGATCAGTCCATGGAAGAGTAGAAGTTTCACTATCACCCTCCTGTAAGGTCTTTGTTCCAGTGTCGTACATCTATTTCTTATCGCCTTTTGTTCTTCAGCTTGAGATTGATCAAACCACTCTATTACTTGACACCATTTCAGCCTATGAACCCAACTGCTCTGCCACAAAGAAGCCTGTCTGACAGACTTCAAATTTTGTCAATCTTATGAGATCAAAGGGCAGGGGCAAGGTAACAGCCCGGTTCAGTTTAGATCCAGAGACTGTAATAGTCTCACTCTTAACTGACCTTCTGCATGCTGCATTTTCCCTGAAGCCTCATGAGCATGACAAGCCATTTTGCTTCTATCCTTCCTTGCGTGCATTTGTTATTTTTCTCTGAAGGATGGGAGTAATTCAGCAGTTACCAAACTAACCTACAATAATTTGACTCCTAAACTAGTTTCAACAACAGATCACTTAGCATATTTTCCCTCTCCTTCCCCGCTCCCAAATGTTTACAGGTTTTTTTTACTGAGTAGAAATTTTAAAAGCCAGTAAATTAAGGATAAACTACTTCCTTCATGTGATCACTTTAACAACATCAGGCTTTTGGGCCTTACTAAAATTAAAGTTTTTGTAGTGTTATTAAGATTCAGATAACTTTCATCACTGAGACAGAAACACTTCCAAATGAACTGAACTTTAATACACAGAAATTCAACCATAATTGAAAAAGCATAAAGTAAAGTTTCAGCTAAGTATGCTCGTACGAACTACAGTCCCTTTCTACTTGTAGTTGCTCTGAACCAATTGCACTCTCTTCTCTGGCTTCACTTCTAAGCAAGAGTTGAATGAGAAGAGTGATGAAAAAAAAAACACAAGTCTGATGTCTTATATACATATCCAAGTGTTGTCATTTTAGACTATCTGGAAAATCGTGATAATAAATGGATCTCTTCATTTTGAAATCAGACCAGAGGTTTCTCTATATTGAATTAGAAGTTTAGGCATCCATATTGTATTGGGCCACCCAATAAATTTGTTGCTAGGGTTTAAATCAAAGCCTTCACAGTGAAGACAACTAGAGAAACAGCATGCCTTAAAAGTGATCAGAACTTGTAGTAAGCAGTGTTGTAAGGGGATCAATGAACTTTCCAATGTGGTCTGTAGAAAACAGGTTAGTACACTTAGAAGAAAAACATGTGCCCAAGGCACGCTAAATGAAGCCAGCGAAGTGGTGATCTTAAGCTATTTTAAAATACAGTTTGTACTTCTTCTGAGAATCCCAGCCCTGGAAGAAAAATATACTCATATGATAGCTCTTTTCCCTGCTTAGTCCTCAGCTTGATATTGGTTGTTTGAATAGCTACATGGGAGCTCATCTTTTTGATTTTCCTCTAGAGTCCAGTTAACCAAAGTTTCCACAAAACAGGCTCTTGTACTGACACAATGACTCATGATACCAGGGTGGTCTGAGTCCCCAGTGTATATCTTCTGATCATAGTTTAACCAAAGCTGAATTGCCCTCCCTCCAGCACTTGGCTTCTTTGCCTTGCACTCAAACAACCCACTGTATCCAAACACAAACATTCTGCCTGAAAGCTTTCCTTGTCAACAGGATTTTGCTCCAACCACTAAAGAACGTTTGCACATCTATGTGGCATGCGGCCTCTCAAAGGGTGTGATCTTCCAAATAGCTCAAAGGACTCTAGATTAACACTATCTCTTCCATCTGAAAAAATAAATGTGCAAATAGAAATTCAGCATTATTCATTACGAATTTTTGTAAGTAGCAATCCAAGCTTGACAAGCACTTTCAAAACCTTAGCTGGATTTGCCCCACTCCACCACTGAAACAGAATAAAGGCTTTTTCTTCATGTTAAGTTTATTGCAAAACTCAGTTTTCAGTTCATTAAATCCCACATGACCTAGCATCTGAAATGCTAGATAGAGTTTTGACTTTGATCTAATCCTGTTTGATTTCAGCACTCTCCTCCTAACTGGGAACTCCCATGTCCCCACAACTTTTCCCCTTCTTTTTACTGAGCTCACCACTTACCATGAAACTGTGAAACTATTGGAGGAGTATCTTCATCTAAGTCATCAACTCCCCCTGCAATTGGGTAAGGAGGAATGGAGACTCGAGGCATAACTACCCAGCTGTGATCAGAGTAGAGAGAGGAGGTCAAGCTTGGTAGCCCAGAATTGTGTGCGATTTGAAACCCGCAAATCTTCTCAATCTGTTGCCATCGATAAAGACGCTCTCGCAAACACGTTGTCAACTCAGAGAGTGCTTTCCTGAAGAAAAGCACACATTAAAATTACACACGTTGGTCTTAATGATAAAGCAAAGCAACACAAGTGCATTCATTCCAGCATACCAGAAGATTCATTAGGACAGTTCAAATATTCAGATTTTAACATATTTTAAACTGCTTTTCTTAAAATGCAAAACCACTATGACACTCAATTCTGTAACTCTCAAAAATGCCATTGTTTCAGGAATAAGTAAGCACAAAAGACTATGCAACCTGTCCTGGTAATCCTCTTACTTTGCTTCAAGAATTTTATGGTCCACTTCATCCAGGGAGGAGCTGTGTGCAACATGTAATGTTCCAAACACAGTGCTTCTCTTCTTTTTTATCTTTTCTGCCTAAAAGGCAAGATAAAATGAAATGCATAAAACTAGGAGTAATATACATAACAGATGATAAAACATTAGCAATATTGAGAGGTAGCAAACAATTCAGAGAAGAAAAAAACACCCAAATGCTTATCCACTTTGTGTTTACTATTTCATGTATCTAGCAACAGATCAGAAAAGTCTTTAAGTAGCTGAAGAATAAGTTATTACCTCATCTTTGGCAATTGCTAATTGCATTTCTGCATGCTGTCTTTTGATGTTGTAATATTGTACTTCAACTTCATGTGTTAACTGAAGCCACTTCTGCAAAGCTTCAGGAACAGACCAATTACTTCTCAACTCAAACTCCTTCTCAGCCTTTTTTAAAGCCATGCGAACCTAGCAATCAATAAGAAATAAGAGAGTCACCAAGAGTATCATTAGAACTGAAAGAACAAGAAGAAAGTGAAGTATTAGCAGAAGAAAGAGAAGTATAAGCACCCTTATACCAGGAAGACAGATCTGGCATTTCTGAAATCTGGCATAAGACCTTTCATATACTGTACTATACTCAGATTTTTTTTTCTTTTGATATATGGTTCCTAATGTGGAGTTTAAATTTTTTTGTAAGACAGTAATTTTTTAGTACAATAAATCCAGATTTATTGCTTTTCAGAGGAGATAAAGCTACTATCTCTCTTCTGATAGTGAGATAAAAAAAGCTTTTGTATATATTTTTGTTCAGTGAATCCAAAAATGTTACAATAAGCTAATATACAAAGTTTATGGTTTTTTATAGTTTCAGGATTATTTTACTCGATAAAATCATACTTTTATCTAGTATGATTGAAAGACAGTCATTAAGCACGCTTAGAATTTTTCCATTAAAATCTAGCATTTGAGGAATGCTGCTTTAAAACCTCCTAAGGATCTCATAAAACTACAACCAATTCAAAGTCAACACTAAAGTTATAAACAGTTTGCAGATACCTGTACTAATTCTTCCTCTGCATATTTGAGCCTGCTGAGCTCACATTCAGCTCCCTCCCTTAATTCCCTTAGGCGATGAGCTTCCCGTTTTGCATCATTGATCTCATCCATCATTTTGCGCTCCAGATTTTGTTTTTCCACAGCAACATTTCTGTTCTCTTCTTGTGCCTTCTCAAGCCTTCAAAATTGAACAAAAAATATAAGAAAATACACAGCATATTTGTTAAAAGTTGTAGTCCTCAGAAGAAGAAAATGCATCCAGCAACAGGGCAAGAGGCAATGGCACAAACCAAAGCATGAGGTTCCATCTGAACATCAGGAAACACTTTCACCATGAGAGTGACTGAGCACTGGCACAAGTTGCCCAGAGAGGTGGTAGAGTCTCCATCCTTGGACATATTCAGAAGCCACCTGGACATGGTCCTAGGCAACCTGTTCCAGATGATCCTGCTTGAGCAGGAAGGGCCGGACAAGATGAATTCCCGAAGTCTCTTCCAACCTCAACCTCTCTGTGATAATAAAGACTCTGCAAGCTTCGTGAATCAGCAGCAACTGCATCACACTGTGATATCCCCATCAGGCAAAATACACAAGCTTTTAAGTGAATCATCATTAAAGGTGTAATATCAAAATACAAGACTCCATATACAATTGAGTTACAGGTGCACTGGAGAAGACTTTCAATTCTCACACTGCTATATAAGCGGTAGAAAGTAATCAGTCCTGGTTTGTTTCAATCTTAAGAGCTTAAAAACAGGAGAAATGTGCTCATTCCCCTGTATGTAAATATTCCAAAGTAAACTGTAATTATATGAAAATAACAATACATACTTGTAAATCTGTAGGTAAAAAAGACAGCCTCTATTCTTTACCTTCATCCACAAGTTCGTACTGCCTGCGAAAATATCCAGGTGCAATTTCTACCCATAAAACCAGTATCAATGAAATCACAATTTCCATGCAAAGGGAAGATGAACAAAATCCAAAGGCAGTTTAATGCAAATAATTTATGACTGTAAAGGATCTATGTTTGTATTTAACCTCAAAACAAAAGTACAACTAGACATTAACTTTTTTTATTTTTAGGTTTTATACCTTTCCTGCAAGTCAAGAAGACTTTGCTCTGCTGTTTGAAGACTTTCTAAGTCCTTCATCATTTTTGTGATATGTTCTCTTGAGGTTCTGTTCTGTGTATATGCAAACCAGCAGCCTCCAAAACCAATAACTATAGAAACTGTTAATATAAAATCCTTCATCCAGTTGTGAGGGGGACCTGTGCAGAGAATAACACCATCATTAACTAGTTCACTGATACAGACAACAGAGCATTTTCCATACAACATAAGCAGCTCTGCTCTAATACAATTTACTTAATCTACACTACAACATTCATTAGATTGAGAAAAGCTTATCAAACCTTTACAGTACACACTCTGTATCTTTATTTTTACTTATTTAAATAGAGTTCCCCAATTACACTTTATCAGGTCAGTAAGAGCTTTAATTATGCTTGAGCAAATTTTCCCCAGTTTGCACCCTCTGGAATACCCTATGCTGGGTTAAAAATGCACTTGGAAAAAATAAAGTACATTTTAAAATGGTAGTGGCTAACAGCAGCCCTTCTTAAAAGTAAAACTTGGATCGTCAAATTATCATATCCAAGATTCACGTACACATCTTTGTTAGTACAATTTTAGTCATTTGAACTTTTGTAAGACTTTCTGCTAGCATTAAAGGTATAATACAAATACAAAGTGCTTTTTTTCCCCCCCTAAAAATTCCCAGCTCAGATCTGGCCTGACTGATTCAGGAACACCAGACATGCACAGCACCACAACAAATCTGTAGCTGTGTACAAGCAAGAATGCAGAGCATTGGTGATGTGGTATAGACATGTCTGCATATGGTAAAATAGGTCAGATGTGGAACTGCTGCATTGAGTTTAACCACACTTAAACTCAACTCTGCACAAAAGACACAGTTATTGGATTTGCACCACCCTCTCCTTTTTTCTTCTTGGGGAAGGTTATCCCCTCTCATTTCAGCATCCCAGCTGCACTGTCCAAGCTAATTGGGAAGTGAATGTAACATTAGCTGTAACTGTAATTTAAGCAGTCAAAAACATTTAGAGGACACATCTTGTGACACAAAAGCCAACTTCCATCTTTGAAGTGGGGTTATACTAAAATTTCTACATGATCTTATATACAGAAGTGAACCTTTGTCCTGGTCACAGCACCTCAACAATCTTTTTTAATTCACTGCAGACTTCCACAACACATGCCAAGCAATCCATCAGTACATCCACAACATAGATAAGCTGTCCCATCTACAGTATCAAGTGTCATTGAAAATATGCTCTGTTGAATTCTTATAATTAAGAGATAAGAAAAAACTCCAAGAAGTTACTAACGGGTAAGAGGTCCAAATAAAACCACATCCAAGGCTTTAAGCTGAAGCTTCTGTCTATGGCTCCGGTCAATTATTTTCAAGTGAGAGATCATGAAAGCATGTTCATTTACTGCTATCCTGTTAATGATAAGACAAAACATTACCTATACCATAAATTATACTCAGAATCAGTCTATGCAAAAAAAAAAAAAAGACATACACAACATTTCTCATAGTTCTATAGATTACAGATAAGCAATTAAGAGTAAGAAATATAATACAACAGTATGGCTGGAAAAAAAAGCAAATCAGAACGTGGCAAAAAGGAACATACAATCATTTACCTATTCTTTTCTTTCTGGAAAAATCGTGAAATAAATCCATTTAACAAAGTTAAAGGTAAAGATATATTTGTAGACTTGTGACACCAACTCTGTAATACATGCAACATACTCAGTTGTGGTAGTCACACTCCAGGAAACAAGTTCTACAGATAGTTTGTTACATATACCCATACAATAGACTGGAAGATGTTCAAAAGAAAGTTTGCTACCACACAGAATTATGTGACCTTTGATAAAAGCTTCCACAGCAAGAAACAAAACTTTCATGAAAGTCATATTTTAAAATATTTTGGCAGGAAAAAAATGCAGCCACTTCTTCAAAACTGCAAGGATGTTTTTCTTTTCTAGCATTTGACCGTGTCTTGTTAGACTTTAGGTTCACATCATTGTTCCCACACACAGACTAAAAGAGAAACCTACAAGGAATTATTTGAAACCAATCCTGAAGAAACATTCACCTGGGAAGTGTTGTTCCATTGACATTGCTCTCTCTGAAATTCTTTTCATATTGTGGCAGTTCAACAAATTCTGAAAGCCACTGAAGTGTGTCCTCTTGAGTCCAGTTATGAACTGAAAGAAAAATTCCATTTAATTACCTTACATTTCTGTAAAATTTAACAGCAAGACACAGAAGACAAGCAGTAGAAAAGCAGGCTACAATGACCAAGAGAGCTTAGTCAAATATAATTGCAGAAAAATTAGCACTAAGGTGTTTCTGGCATTTTGCCTTTTTCATTATATGCTTCTCAGTAAAAGCTTAAGCAAACTATAAAAAAAAACAAGCATGGAACAAATAGAAACATTTCTTTATTAAAAATTCCACAGAATAATTTAGTCTTTTGCTTTAGTTTAAATCAGGACAGCATTTTGTGATCTCTTGTGACTTTGATCTACTTAAACTGATCTCAGCCTCAATCCCTTTGTCCTTGCTACCCTTGCAGAACTAAACACACATCAGCTGGTAATGTAGTCATTTGAGGCAACACACCAAGATCTTTCCCTGGATGGTGGCTTAAGAGCTTGTTTTCACAAGAATTTTCTTACAGGCTCATGCCTACCAACCACAAAATGGGAGCCAATGAGAGATGAATAGAGGAGACTGAAAGAAAACACCAAAAGACAGTAATAATATAACAGGAAAACACTTAAATCTCTCTCAAACCTGCCCAAAAAAGCAGGTTTAAATGCAAAAATACTTCCACTAAGAATAATTATTTAAGTATGTAGAGAATAATTAACAGTTTTCCTCTGTAACATCAATAGTCTACATAAACTTTCATACCTACAAATGCTCTAAGAAAATCCTACAGAGAGATTTTAAAAAAGGGGGGGGAGGTCACACTTGTGGTCCTTACAGGCCACCTGCTACAGCTTAAAGCTTCACACTGACAAAATAGAAGGGAAATTATTTGTTCCATTTATGACTCTGCAAAAGTTTGTCTACACATGAAAGAAACTGTGACAGCCTCCTTTTCAAGACAATTCACACAAAAAAATTTTAATTTTTTTTTAATATTTCTCTACCTAGAACCACTTGCATGTGACAATGCTAGGTAGAGGTTTCTGTAGAAACCTTATCATAAAGACACATTCTCAGTGGTGAATTTTGACAATGACCCTTTCAAAAGAGCTGCTAAAAGCTTGATTGGTAAAGCTGCAGGCAATGGAAGTTTTTGTGAGTTCAAATTCATATTTCACTTCACACTGAAACTGAAATAAGGACTTCTAGGTCTCTTGTCTACACTAGCATAGCTGAAAAATAAGCTCAAACATTTTAGATTTTCATCGTTCCAGAAAACCAGAGACAGAACACATTCCACAGACCCACTTATAGCTTTAAGAAACAAACTTGCGGTACAAACAGCTTGTTTTCTATCCATATGAATGCCTACACAACCTTCCCAGTGTACTGTCCCATTTCCTTCTCTCCTTCTGAGCCACAATCAGGTATTGATTTGAAACAGTTTTATCATATTACTCTAAGATTTTATGCAAAATGTCTGGGCTCTGTTTGTAAACAGATTGTGTTCCCATTGCAAAGATTCTTAACTCTTTTGTGGATAATAAGCAATCAGACTTACATGTCATTCAAAGTCATTCAAGACTGGTCATTATGAGTCTCAAAAGGGTGGTAAAATAATCCAGAAAAATATCACCTTAACTGCATTCTAGAAATATGTTCAGAGACTGATGCAAAGCAAAAGCATTGCTTTGATGTGACATGTGGAAAAAACCTACCTAAAATAGCCACTACACACTACAGACTATCACTGACAGGACAGAACATGCAATTTCAGAAGCCACACAATTCGCTGAGTTCATAAATCTTGGGGAAGGGAAAAAAATACCATTGAGACGTTTCACTTTTGTTGCTGAAAGTATTTTGTAGACACTCCATCAAATTTTACATAAATTTGTAGTTTTTTTATAAGTAGTAATTTCAAACATATTATTTTGTAAGAAATTAGGTACATATTTAAGTGGTTTACCATAGAGCCAATCATATCTTTTCTACTGTCTAGACTGGTGTGACGTTGTCTTCATAGAATATAAAGGATATTTTCCCAAACAAATCAGTTATATTCAGGAAAACTTTATTATTCATTATCTATCAGATAATTCCATTAGTACAGAGATTGTAAAATGAAGTAACTAAAGTCTATCCAAAAATAGAATCAGAACTTGTACTTCCTGTATTCTTCTTACACTGTTACCTGTTTACCTAAAAATTAATATCATTTACTTCTTTGATTATGTTGTGTCCTTTTAAACAACCACTCATCATTTAGGCTATCAATACATCGTCATCTCTTATTCTGAGATTTCACAGTCTGAATCTCTGCTCATGCACGTATTTTACAAGAAATTTAGATTTATTATGTAAACTAATACTTCATTCACACAAGTTCACTGTAGGAGTCTGCAAATCCCCAAATTTTCCAGGTTGGCTCAGACTAAACTACTCTGTTCTCCCTTTCCAACTCTGTCAGTTTCTTTTTGTTGGTATCTTCTATATGCTGTATGTTGGTAAAAAGTATTGCTTCACTTATCTCGAATAAGACCTTATGAAACACATATTTGTTTATTCTACAACAGTATACAGTACCAAAAAGCAAACTGGCCTTTCTTCAACAGAAGCTGTTCCAGCCCACTGAAACACGACACAAGGCAAGTGTGATATACACCAGGTGTACTGAAGGGCAAGCAGGCCAGCTGAAACTCATCTTCATCAGCACTGCCAGTTATAATGTGCCAACTCCTACTAATTAGGTGGGGTTGTAACTTCCTTAATTTAGTCACCAAAAAAGAATACAGTGCCTCAGACAGTGGAGTAGAATACAGTGCCTCAGACAGTGGAGTAGCAAGTCACAGATACTCCAAGTTAAATGCATACAGCATTACAGAGTAATTATAACATCCTTCCTTCTCACACCTCTTTTCACAGACAGATATCTTGAGAGAGAGGATGCCAACAACATGCCTTGGGAAGGCAGGTGTAGAAGCAACACTAGTGTTTACACCTCAGAGCAGCACTCAGTCTCTAGAGTTGCACCAGCTGTTCTATTTCAGATCACAAGTTATTGGGTTGGGTTTTTTCCTACTTTTTTTTAACTGCCCTATCAACATGCTGAAGACGAAGACAGCCAAAGTAGCTTTAAACTGGCCCTGTCTGGAAGTTTGTCCTTGCTAACCCACATTAATGGCCGATTAGAAGATCATTTTTTAATATTTATCACATAGCACAGTGCTTCCAGGCAGGGAGGCTTGAAGTAAAATAACATTGCAGTGTCAGCCTCAGTACTCTTATGGGCCTCCTACTCCTTTCAGAAATCAAATTACATTTTACAGGAGTATTTCATGGCAAGGAGTGAATGACAGCCACACATTAAGCTTAAAATTGAGAACAGGCTGACCACAAGATTGTTCTGTATCAAGCATACAAAACCATTCAAAACTTAGTTTTTAGGACCTTCAACAGTAACATCAGCAGTACACAGCATTATGTAACTCATCCTTAGCCAACCCCTGCTGGCATACATTTCTAACCTCCATATATTTAAAACCTGAGAAACCAAATTATTAAAGTGCAAGGCAACCATAACATCTTTGTGGTACACGGTTTAGTCCCAGTTGCTGCAATACTTGTGCAACAGTAAATCAGAATACAACAGATGATCACACATACAAACATAAAAACATTTTTTTATCTTTTTACCCTAATAAATAAGGTACCAGACTTTAGTTCACTATCTGTTTTTCAAAGAGAAGGAAAGAGAGTTAAAGAAAACAAAAAGGTACAAATACAAGGCAAGGGAGAAGGTTTTTGTATTATAGGGCAGTCTGCAGGACATACTATATATTAAAGTTCAAATATGCCATAATGGTAAAAAAGTTACTTTTTTCTAAGGCAGTTTGTAACAAGTAGGTTTGGTAGGATTTAAATTAGTCTGACAATAGCTGGCCATTCATGAACTCCGGGTTTACTTTATTACAAAATCAAGTCCCAAGGGACAATGCTACATCACCAAGAATGCAGCACCATACCCTACTCAGAGACATGTCAGAGAACTACCCAGCTGAAGGCCCTGCACTGATTTTAAGTCTCTCTTGCTACTGAGACTAAATACCTACCCACCCACCTTGCACAGATAGAAAATTCATATGATCATGGCCCATCACAGGGGCAAAAAGAGAAGGCAGGCACCTCTGAGTGAGAGAACTTTCAAAGATAATTGTACAGAGACTGGTACTGAGATATCAAAACAAATGCTCATCTGTCCCCTTGTCTGCACTCAAAACCTCTACCTCTTCAAGGATCTTGTAGAAAAAAAAACTGAAGATGCTCCTTTGATTTTAACCTATCAGTAGCTACTAAGCTTATTACTTTTGAATAGCTGAAAGGTTCTCTAGTGCATGTATAAATACTGCTTAGTTAGAAGACAAGGCAGTCAAAGAATACAACAAGCATATACTGGCATTTACATTTAAAGAGCAGTAACACACAGTAAGTCAGATGACTCAGAGAGCAATGTTTTCTGTTTTAAACAGGTGTGCTAGTTCATAGTCACTCCTCTAAATAGAGCACTCTGTAGAATCAGACTATGAGATTATAAAATTTCAAAGGTCACAAAAAGCACATCATAACTAAACTAAACTAAATTAAATTAAAATCTTGTTTTGTACTCAAGGACTCATTTCAACTGTGTGGCAACACAGTAACAAAATGCTGGATGCTGATTTAAGTTATGATATGATTCCTTCCATGCAGGTAAAACCTAGAGCAGCCTTGAAATTCCTTTAATTTGCACCAGCATAGACTATGCCTTGAAGATTCTGCACCAGGCAGGGACACCAAACGCCTGCCCAGCGTCAAGAATATTAAAAAGCAATATTCTGAAGCTCCTTCTTTTATTAGGCAATTTTTAAAGCTTTGAATGGAGCCAATCCTCAGGGTTCCACTCACTGTATAAGATCCTTCCGAAGCAATTACTTAAAAGGAAACTCTGTTTTCCTTAATGCTAAAAAGAGACACCAAACAGCAATGGCACGTTTTCACTGTCTTCCCTCAAATCTTATCTGTCTTGCATCACCAATATCTTAAACAGAAAGCACCTTTAAGCTATTTGACAAATACTTAAGACAAACATTCACATAAAGCAGCTTTATGGCAAGGAATGTGCAATTCTACTCAGCATAAACTAGGCAGCAATAGATCCATAAGATGCTTCTGCATACACTGTCAAGAGCGCTATTTAGAGCTTGTAATTCTCACACAGTCTCAATAGAGTACTTAAAAGTTTCAAATTACTGATACTGTCATTTACACTACCTTCCCTCCTCTTGTTTAATGTTGTCAAATTGCATTAAACTGGCACTATAAAACAGCAGCACATAAGAAAACAAATCAATCAAAATTCCTAAAACATTTAGAAAGGAAAAACAGTATTTTCCATGTCACCTAAAATCAAATGAAGGTAGTTCTTTTTCTGAGGGGTTTCCTGCTTTCTAACAGTCAGCACAGCACTGGTAACAGAGCTCAGGAGTCTCATTCTAAAGGTCTTCCTGTGGTGCAACTTAAGTTCTCTCAACAGCACGCCCAGTAAAGCCACTATATGCAGACACTATGAAACATGACATTCCTCTTAATGTCTTTTGAGTCTTACTCACACTACTCACTATATTCAAGAAACATAAAATAAAGATATACGTAATAGACAAATTAGATACTTCTGGGATCATTATAGCCTACATTTTTGAAGAGTTACTCATGAGTTAAATCAACAATTATGGGGAGATAATTTTTTCTGGTAATTCAGTTGTAATACTTCCATAGAACAAGAATTTCAGCAAATAAGTCTTTACAGAATATTTGAAGAGATGAGGCTAAAAATCACTAGTTAAAACAGATATTTACTACATAGCAAACACCTCTTACTTCAGACTGCACTTAAATGACTTCCTACATAAGCAGAATGAACAATGGCATGTTCCTAGCTCCATTCCTCTCTTGTTCCTACTTCTAGTTGTTTGACCAATACCAACTTTTAGATCTCTCTATGTGCACCATTAGCACATGTCCTAGTTTAGGAACGGTATTCTCATATATAGTACTTGGTTTCCCCTACAGCTCCAACTGAAGGCACAAAAAGGAAAGCCAGAGGTTGAGATAAGAACAATTTACTGTAAGAGGCAATGAAATAAGAAAACTAACAGTAACAGCAACAACATTAATAACAAAAGGTATAAGAAAAAGAAACTATATACACAGAAAGCCCCCCCACAATAAACAAATATGGGTCCATCCCCCACATTTCTCATAGAAGGAACCCCTTCTCCCCAGAAGAGAGACAGTTCCTTTCCCATCCCCCAGCAACAATGTTAGGGCATATGGACAACATAGGGCCTTAGCCACACACCCTCCCAGATACTGTAAAAAATTAACCCTGTCCTGGCCAGAACCAGGACAGCACAACATCTTCAGAATGGTGGGGGGGGGGAAAGTTAAGTATTTTTCTCCTAACAATTCTAACATTCTAGATATCTGGAATTTTTTTTAAATCACTATATCCTGGAACATATTTGGCAATGAACACTGTACTGTACATTAAATACTGTCTTTTGATACTTGGAATATTTGGCTCAACTTATTTCATTTAAAACAGCATGAGGGAGGGCTGGTGGTGTCGTCAGTCCATTTTACTGTGCCTCAAGTTTAAAAGGATTTTCAAAAATGCTTTAGACTAAGAATTCTAGCTCTTCATAACCCAAATAAAATTTACATTGAAGTAGAAGTACACTGAATTTTCAACTCAATACAACATGCAATAAATATTTAAAAATAGCTTGAGAGCAACCCTTAGGGTTTATTAAATTAAAAATATGCTAATCTGGAATTCAGCACTTGCACCAGTCACCTTGATAAATTAGAACCTTATACAGATGAATGTGTAAGCTATGTTAGTTTACTTACAATGCACCAAGGACATGCAGAGAAAATTAACACTAGCTGTACTAAATAAGTTCTTAGTCAGGTTTACATGTGCCTATAAATAAAAGTATCAAAATGGATTAATGAAGATGTTTCAAGTCATTCATTTACTACTCTATACTTGGTGGAAAAATTCTTGACTTATGTCTCTGTCAGTAACCACCATCATTTTTAGCTATACTTCTTTACCTACCTTCAGATGTTTTCCAGCGTTTCCACAGATCCTCAATGGTGATATGTTTGTCTTCTCTGTGCAGGTGACTATGTTTATTAGAGGCATCCTTGTACTGCATATCTTCCCTTAGAAACTGAAGAAAAAGGAAAAATGTCATATTAAATGCCAAAATAACAATTTCTGAACAGAAACTAGAAGGAAATCAGGTAGACAAGAGTTCTTTGCTATCTCTTCCCCATGCGAGCGACACAGAATTCATCTAAGTTCTCTAAAAAGACTCAGAAAGCACATTATCAGAAATCTCTTATAAGATTTGTTTTCACCATGATTATATCCTAGAAAAACTGAAGGTTCAGTTGCTAGTATACTAGATTTAACAACATTTTTAGCATGCCTTAGATTTACAGTGATTACAAGAATGCACCACACAAGTCATACTGCATACTTCTGTACTCTGAAGACATTTAACCAACTTTGTCTACTTGAAAATAAGACCACGTAAGATTTGAAAGTGCATCACTCCTTTATGGATGAGTAATCCTTGAATCCTGCAACACCAGTTAAATGCAACTGCTTGAGGATGAAAGTAAACTGTTGACTAAGTATTAGTAAAGTCTTTTAATTAGACAACAAAAATTTGACTTTATTTCATCAAATCAAACAACAGAAGCCATTTGAGGGTCAATTTTCTTCTCACTAATCATTCCTTGGTGGTTACACTCCAAGTACAGAAGCATTACATAAAGCTGCTTCATTCTCAGTAATTAACAGGAAGCCTTTTAGTAAACATGATAAAAGAAGTTCATGCAATCATGTCAAACATAATGGGTGGTAAGGCACTGGAACAGGTTGCCCAGTGAAGCTGTGAATGCCCCATCCCTGGAAATATTTGAGGTCAGGTTGGATAGGGCTTTGAACAATCTGATCTAGTGGAAGGTGTCCCTGCCTACAACACAGAGATTGAGACTAAATGATCTTTAAGGTCCCTTCCAACCCAAACCGTTCTATGATTTTATGACAGCAGTGTTGCACTAGCATTTCACAAGTCACTACAAACAGGTTCACCAAATACATGCACAAAAACCCCCCATGGAACTGTAAAACCCATTCTATTTTTATTTCGTACAGGCCTAGAAAAGTTGGAATAGTGGTTGGCAAACAACCTCCCACTAATAGTGGAAACCTTGCATAGGTATCAGTCCCTAAAATCACAGTATGAGCAGTCTCCATGAGTGAAGACCTTAGTATTCATATCAGATAACTAACATTTGGTACAAACAGTACCAGAAAACTAAGTAATCTTCCACAGTAGAGAGCTTGTTTTCTTCAGTTCCTGAAGGATGAAGTTGCTCAAACAAAACCAGCTACAGATAGACATAACAGCTAAGTAAAAACCAGCTTTTCTATGTGGCTGGTCATATGTCATCATCACTTCAAGCAGAAGGGAGGAAGAAGGCCAAGTTAGTGATGCACTGCAGAAGAGCCCAATTCTTAAAATTTAGTCCAAGGAATAATTTATGTGCAAAGCTTCCTGCATAGGCCCCATTTCTAACAAATCTAGAGGTTATATAATTCAAGAAACTGCAAGAGAGACTGAAAAGTAGCCAATGCTAAACCATAACATATCTTTATAACAAGATATAGAGTATGAAACCAGAAATATGCAAGCAAAAGCTAACACTTTTCCCTTACTAGAATATTTTTACTAGGATGTAAGGAAATCTAAAACTATGTGAAAGGATTCAAGTTTCTCCTCTAACTTGGGATACAATACTAATTGCTTTCTCTAAGCCAGCCATAGAGCCATAGTATCAATACAGATTGTATGCAAATCTTCTCTCATTTATCTATTACTTCAAAACTTTTTTTGATTGTCAGACATTAGCTTTCTAAAGCCTTTTGATTCCTAAAATAGTTCCATTTAGCCCATACGAACTGCACAAGCATTTTCAACTCCTCTTCCCCATGTGAATGGTACAATTTCAGATATAAAAAAATATACATGCACAAACATGCACATCCATGAGAAATATAGGAGAAATTTATGAAACATATGAGAACTGAAAAGAGCAGCCTGTTGAGCAAGGGCTATTACAGGACTTCTGAAACATTACGGATCAGCAGCAGTAAAAATGTTTAATAAACACAGAACTGTATGCTGTAAATGTATGCAAATGTAGAAATATTTGCTGCATATTCCATAGTCCAAGCAGGAACTCTGAAAAACCTTCCCACATTGGCAATACTACCATGAAGCTGGAAAATTCTACAATGTGCAACCAAAGATGGATTATCTTATTCATTCCCATACCATGTTTATTAAAGGGTAAACTGAAAAGCAGGAACTAAACAGTAAGAAAACAAGCAAAATAATATTCTTATCCACTTGTGCCTGTAAGCCTTTCCAGAGTAAAGTAGTCTCGTAGCTGGACATCAGGAAAGAATTGATGTTTGCCCACCTCACCTTTTCCCTCCAGACTGCAAGTACCTATTATCAGCTGACATCCCCAGCATATCTTTTGTGAACTTGGAAAAAGTATACTAAAAATTCAGCAAAAAAATATATTCTACATCCCTCCCTGTAAAGATTGTCTCTCTTCATGTGAGGGTTAAGGTAAATGCTAACACTCTTCAGCTTTCTAGTGACTGATGATAAGATTGTCCTTGGTGACTCCAAATGTCAGGTATGGACATTTGTTTTAAAAACAAATTGTTGTAGGGTGATGGCGTTTCTGAAGAGGAACAGAATGCATACATGTACATATGTTGCATGTGCAGGCTTAAACCCATTTTGCATCTTCTCAGATCTGCAAACTCAGAGCAGTTTTGTTTGTACAAACTTGCTCCTATCTTTACTGCTAGTTGTCAGCAAAGGTTGTAAAATATTGAAGGATGAGAACACTTGTGCAGTTGGAGGTGCTGTCAAGGAAAATCTGAATTGCTGTTAACAATGGTTAATACGTGATCAGAAGTAAAGGAGAGAAGGAAGATGCCAAATGATAAACAGAAAAGCTTCAAGGTGCTACATCTCACCCCAAACTAAGCACTACAAGGAACACTAAGAGAGCACTGCGGTTTAAACACAGGACGGACACACCGGTGCCTCGGCAGCAGCGATAGAGTCCCGGAGCCGCTCCTGCCGTTCGGCCCCGGCGCCCGCAGAGGGCGCAGCAGCCCCCGCGCTCCGCGCCCACGGCGGCCCGGGAAGCGCGGATCCAAGCCCGCAACACGGGATTTCCCGGGAGGAGAGCGGGATAGCGGATCTCGTTTACGCGGACAGATGGATTTGACTAACGTCCTTTTTTAAAAAGGGGCTGTCAGCACTCAAAGTTGTGAGCAGCTTGCAGTCAGTAGCCAGTACAGTTATTGCTCAGGGGGAGAGGTTCTACACCCATGAGAACTTCTCCCAAGTGAAAAGCCCCTCTTCTGTTCTATCCTACCCACGCTGCTCCCAGATCTGTGAAAATAATCACGATGGCTTCCTCAACAAGGTTCTCTGGCACCACATGGTCCCAGCACTAAAGTTAAGAGTACACATAGCTAGAAAGAGGCCATTGTATTTCCAAGAATGAATGCATTTACTAAAGAGGAGGTAAATAACAACATCAAATATCTTTCTTTAGTTTAAAGGATCTTCGTTTTGAAACTGGCCTAATATGGAAGTGCTTCTTCATGAAAAAGAACCGTGTCCTAAATTGAAGAAAGACAAAAACAGAACAACTCTAGTAAAAAGAGGATTTTTCTGTTCCTTGTCATGGCAGCTAATCTCTCTTCTGTTGCCCTGGTCATTAAGTATACAAAGAAAAGGTTAGAAAAATAACTCTAAATAGGGAGGTTAAAAGAATAAGCTCTAACAAAAACACATCTAGGGATTATCTTAGCCAACATAATTACTCAGGAAGGAGAAGTCCTTTTAAGACTACAAAGTTGAAACCAAGAAAGCAACAGATAAGTCACCTAAAAACTGTGAGAAACAAAAAAAAAAATCATTTGTCAATGTAGTTACTTCAAAAACAAGTAGATAGTAAAAAAAACACCACACCTAGACTTGAAAAGGAGTCTTGATCCCAAAACTCCATAACAACTATACCTCTACAAAGATCAACATCCTAAAGTCCAAGGTTAGGTAGTGTAATAGCTAGAGAGGAAACTTCTGCCTGCCTGGAGGGGACAGGACTTGTGGAGCCCTGGAGAAGTTCCAGAGTCAGGTACATGCCACCTTCCTTCCTCTTCAGAAAGCCTTTAGTACTGTAACTTTCACCAAAATCCAGTCAACTCATAAACAAAGACCAACCTAAAGCAAGAACCACAAAAAAAAAAAAAAAAAAATCTGACCATTGTAAAAGAGGTAAAAAGACATCCCAGAATCCAATACAAGTTTGACTGGTATCAGAGAGAGTGCTTACAAACTAAACTCAAGTTAAAATATGGAAGCTGTAAGAGACGCTCCTTGAAGAGCAAATGAGAAATTGCATATTTTTGCAAATGCCAGCAGAAAAGTAAAATTAACCACACTCACTAACAGCAGCAGGAAGCATTCATATGCTGTTTATATTTTGTTCTGGGTGAAGGCTCAAGTTCATGATTTTCAGTTTCATCAACATAAAATAGACCCTCTAACTGACAAGTTTACTTTAAGAGTAATTCATATTTCCTGCCTAAGTATTACTCTATTCCTCAAGTAGTGTTATTTCCTTCAGTTTTATTCCTTGATTCAAAGGGAAACCTGCAAAAGTTACAACTTCAGTTCTCCTATAACCCTTCAGATTTCCTATAAACCTTCAGATACACCCAAGTCATTGCTAGACAGCCTTCTCATCTATTGTAAGCAGACTTGTTGCAGCTATTGCAATGTCACATGTACTGAATAAATTATAATGGCAAATGTGCTTTTAAAAGGCAACATACTATAATTCAGGTATGACAGCTTTTGCAACTGCCTACCCTACAGAAGTGGCTTCTAAAGGTGTTACACAGTAAAATAAGAAAATGTATTCAAGCATAATAAAAACATTACTAGAAAAACGTAGGACATAATAAGGAAAGTTCTACCAAGTATACCTTAAGTAATCTACACATTCTACTGAAAAAAAACTTATTGCAGCTCAAAACAAACTGCAGCTATCCTACTGC